CTTCCCTGAATCTTAGTCCCCACCCGCTGATCACAACTGTTTATTTTTATTAAATATCCCCACTTGCTAGGCAAATGTGGGGTCAAGGGGTTGACGGTGATATGTCCACTTCCCTTTTTTTTGGGGGGGGGGGGTTTATTAAAGTCCACCACCTGATGCCCATGGGATAAGGCCTTTTATAGCTACTGGCAGCAATGGCCATATTTGCAATTGACCACAAGAGGGCGCTGAGAATTCAGAGTGGTAGAAGTCTGTAATAATGTCCACTGCCACCAGGGAGAACACAGTGGATTTGCACAGGAAGGCAGCTAGCTCTGAAGAGCAACGTGTGGAAGTGCCAGATAAGTATAACAGAGATCAGAATAAACAGTCTTTGCAGGATAAGTAAAAACCTCTTAGTATTTCATTGTAGGGGAAGATCTGAGTGCAGCAGGAGGAGTGTACTGCAAACAATCACGGCTGGGTTAGAAACAAGCAGGAAGGGTCCTTAGTGGGAGTTGAATCCTGAGAGCTTGCAGGTCAGGACAGTTGGTAGTGGTAGTGTGCCAGAAAACAGGATCTCCAAAGCAGCAGAAGTAAGGGAAATGCTAACATGCATTAGCCCTCAGTAAGGCAGATAACTGTACTCAGTTCTTCCAGCACAGGAGAATAGGGACCTCCTCTGATATAAATGTGGCTGGAGGTGTGTGCTACAGAATAAACCCTATATGTTTGGCCTGTATCTGGAGGTGTTTCCTAGGGAGTTAACCTTATGTCCCTGCTGTTAAGTCCAGCCGTGGTGGGTGTTTTGGTGGAGTAGACAGTGATCAGTTAACCCCTGTTCTTTAAACTGAAGCCAGGTTGGTTGCATCTTAATGACTGGGCAGCAATGGCTTCCCAGTTGCAAGTCTTTTATTATAGCTAGTATTTTGTTACAATGAGCAAACAGTGGCTGCTCATTGTTTAGCATACATGCACACACTTGAGACATGGCTCATGGGGTCATGGGGAAGGTATAAAACTTACCTTGTTCTAATGCGGTGGTCATATTGACCCCATAGGCTTAGTATTATTTATTTTTAACTGTTCAATGTGGTGATTGGCAAATAGCCAGAACATAATTAGCCCTTGTGCCACCATTGTGTAAGGTTCAGCCGAATTGTTTTTCATGACTAAATTCCAGCTGAACCGAGCTGGCACATTGCTGAGTGTCAGAGCAAACCAAACAGTTGCACCATGCTCTTGTCTACTGATGGATCAAGACGATTTTTCTCCAATCTATGGCTTACAAAAAGGTATAGGAGATGTCATTCTACACCTTATGTGTATGTAATGTCAATAAATATCCTAACTTAGCTCAGTCTGCATTACTTGTGAGTGCCAGAGGAGGGAGCAATGATAAGTTTAAGGGGAGCAAGGAACACAGCTTAATAGGTTAATTTGCCAAACAAATTGGAAAAAAAAGAAATTTACTAGTTTAGATAAGGAAAAATACTTCTACCAGCCCGTTACCACATAACCAGGGATTTTTTGTGTATGTACAGATTTGTACGGTATAGTGATTCAATGACTGAGAGTATTTATATGATCTGTCATGAGATCCTAGAAAAGCAACTTTAATTCTCCATGGATCATAAAGTCATTAATATATACATGAAATGTTATAAATCAGCATAATATAAATGTGAGAGTAAGCGTGCATGAAACCTCAAATTGCTGCACATGGCTGAGTCAGTAAATCGGAAAGAACCTGAACACACCTGATTCATAGCATCTACACCTCGAACGATAGTTCTGCATCAATTACCAGGAAACTTGCTTGAGTCAGTATTTTTTTTTTTAACATCTCAAAACAGCTCAGATCTCGATCATTAAAAAAGCTTTGCTAGAATTTGTACATAAAGATAAATTTTCTAAATGCAAGTTGGAATGATTTGACAAACCACTTTCAAAAATGTAAGCCAACACAGTCAAGTTGGAAAAATCTAGCAAATATCTATTGGGGGGTGGGGGGAGGGAGGATAACTATTAAAATCAGTTTTTTGTGCCTCATACAAACTCAGGAACTAGATTTTTAAATACGATTCAGTTATTGTGGGTATTGTAGTTTAAATGCACCATTTTCCAACCACCAGCATCCAATTCCAGCTCCTTACCTTGCAACATCTAGCAGCCTAAGCTAACTTTTTATAGGTCACTCTTTTTGTACAGTTTCATCAGCTTAAAGCACTATGTATTACATTTCATTAGCTTAAAGTACTACGCAAAGCACTACTCTGGCCATCCTGCATTGTTTATGTTGCTTGTAGTGTCCCTTTAAATTGACAGAACTTTGTAAATGTTTATATTATATAGCTGGAGAGTTTAACAGCGAGGTGTATAGAAAGATGGAATTGGGTTTAATTCTCTTTTGATGCCAGTCTTAAAAATAAACAGTACTTTTGTCTGGACCTTAAAAATCACAATCTTACATCATTGTCTAGGTTACATAGTCAGCTCAAGATAGCAGGGTCCTCATCAATCTATTGTTAATGTAACATTTTGTAACGGTCCTAAATATTAAATATTAAATTTCCCCCTTTTATAATATAGTAAAGCGCTGCGGAATAAGTTGGCATATATAAATACCAATAATAAAAATAGGTTGAAAAGAGACAAAAGCCCATCAAGTTTAACCATAAATTCCATTCTTTTATGCTTCTGATTCAAAAGAAGGCAAAAAAAACTATTGCAGCCATTTCCAATTACGGCACAAAAAGAGAAAACAAAATCCTTCTTTCTCCATAACGGAAACCGTATTTCTTCTTGAATCAACAATCTGTTTACATATATATCAATTATATCCTTGAATATTCTGTTAATGCAAAAAAAAAAAAAAATCATCCAAGGCTTTTTTAAATAATCTTTATAATCTGATAAGACAACCTCTTTAGGCAGCAAATTCAACATCTTTATTGTCCTTACTGTAAGGAACCATTTCCTCTGCTGTAAATGAAAATGCCTTTCTTCCTGTATCAATGTGTGATCTCTTCTCTGTTGTATATTTGTGCTAATGAACAGGTCAGCACAGGTTAAAATGGTATTTCTGCTATCATATCCCCCGAGGTGCCTTTTTTCTAAAGAAAACAAATCCAGATTTCTTGCCTTTTCTCATAACTAATGTTTTCTAACACTGTCACAAATTTGTAGCCTCTACACTTTTTCTAGTTCTCGAAGTATCCTTCTTTAAAACTGTTGCCCAAAATTGCACCACATATTCAAGGTAGGATTTTAACACTGATTTGCAAAGAAGCAAAATATTTTGACCACATGAATCATTACCCCTCTTTATACATGAAAGCATCTTACAAGCTTTTGCAAAGTCAGAACGGCATTACATACTGATATTGCTGCTTATTTTGTGATCTATAATTGTTTTCAAGTCATTTTTTAATTTACTCTTATCTCTAACTCAACCCCATTTAATGTATAAGTGGCTTGTGGGCTCCTTATCCCAAAATACATGACTTTATATTTATCTATATTAAATCTCATCTGTCACTTGCCTGCCAAGTCCTTTCAATGTATCCAAGTCCTTCTGTAGTTAAGTTATATAATGCTCAGACTTTATTTTCTTACCTAGGTTTGTGTCATTTGCAAACACCGACAAATAACTTTCAATGCCCACTTCAATATCATTTAAAGATAAGTGGACCCAGAACAGAACCCTGAGGCAGTCCACTTACCACTTTTGTCAAATTTGAACATTTTCCTTTTACAATTACTCTTTGCACTCTATCTTTAAGCCAGTGTTCTATCCAAAAACATGATTTCTTTTAAATCTAAAACAACTGATATTCGTTGTAATAGTAACCTTTTAAGTGGAACTGTTTAAAATACCTTAGCAAAATCCCAGTTAATCAGATCTATTGGATCACCCTGATCTATATTTCTACTAGCTTCTTTATAGATTGCAATTATGTTAGTTTGGCATGACATGTCTTTCATAAAACCATGTTGATTCCTGCTAATTATATTTTTGTTCAAGATTAGTTATTTAATATTATCCCTTAACAGCTCCTCAAATGTTTTCCCAACCACAGGTATTAAGCTCAGAAGTTTCCAGGTTGAGCTTTTGAACCCTTTGTGACTATAGGATCTGCTCTTCTCCACTCCTCTGGTACAATTACTGAAAGAAAATAATTCTGAATAATAAAAAACTGACTTATGGATATTTCTACACTAAGCATAAGTGGGTGAATACCATCTGGCCCTGAGTCTTTGTTTACATTTTTATTTAATTTCTGAAACACTTTATCCTGTGTTAACCATCCATGTATTTGCAGACTTTTGTAACAGGGATTTGCAGATCTACAGCCATAAACTATTCTCTCCTTTATACTGAAGAAAAATAATTATTTAGAATTTCTACATTGTCTTGATCCTCATTGATTAACCCACCCATCTCTATTTCCAATGGACCAACACTTTCACTGTTAACCTTAATCTATGCTATAAAGATTCATACAGTCAATTTCATTTTGGTTTTTCTGATTACCTGTGGTTTTTCTATCTTCTTAGGTGATGATGGCCTTGGTCCTGAGGATGAAGAAGACACTTTAACACTCTTTTATGACCCATGCCTGAACTGCTATTTTGATCCTGAAACAGGGAAATATTATGAATTGGCTTAATGAGTGAAGTGGATAATGGATTGCAAGAAGTTAATGGGTCATCAATATTTCATCTCATATTGTTAGTTATCTAATAATAAATGACAATAATGACCCAAAGTTATTGGTTTTGGTTATTTTAATGAGTAGTGTGCATGTCACTGTTTTTTTCTTTGTTTGTTATCTTCAGTTTTAAAGCCATAGGTATGTTTTCCACATCAGATAAACAGTTGTTTTTTCTATTTTAACCTCTTAAGAACGGCAGGCGTGCTATGTTGTCCTTGGGGACCCGGCTCTTAACTCCGGTGGACGGCATAGCACATCCACGCTGTCCTATTCACTTACCTGCTCGCCAGCGATCCCACGCCTGCGATCGCGATGGGGGGACTTACCTGCTGCCGATCCGGTCCTCCTGGGCCAAGTGATCGCGAGGTCCTTCCAAGGACCTCACGATCACATGGGCGGAATTGCCATCCATAGCAGTGGCAGCAGGGGGAGTGCCTGGAATGACAGGTAGTCCCCCTGCTGCCTGAAATAAATTAAAATACAGTTAAAACACAGTTTAAAATTAAATATATACTTAGATCATATACCATAGAACCTGTACATAATTTTACAAGTGAGACATCGCTGAATACAAATATGTGTATATTATTGCAGTAAAACCAAACAATATTATGACATTCACAGTTAAAATGTCATGCAGAACTAAAAAAATAACAAAATGTCTTAATTCCTTAATTTATTTATATTTTATTCATATTAAATTATGTTTCATGGCTAAATATATGATGGTAAATGGAAGCCCTATTTCTCCTGAATAAAATGATAATATAAAAGAGATGATTTACGGTTGAACAGACATATAGTCAAATTCCATGTTTTGTTTATGTTTTATTTTGATCAAAACGTGTACATCTGGCTCAGTCCTTAAGGGGTTAAAGAGAAATTATACTTTGTTTTGTTTATATACACTAAAAATGTATGCCCTGTCATGATCACTAGAGTTAGTTCATACTGGTTTTTAATTTTATGATATATGTTCAGTAGTGGTACAAAATTTTTGGCTGCACAGGTGAATATGCATTATGCTCCCTCCCCAATAAAAAAAAGCATCTCCTTGTGTGTCTCTTACTAACCCCAGCACATTTGTGTGTCTTTAAGTCCTCCTAGCTACTTTGTATGTTTCTTTTTCACCCCCTTCCCCTTTGTCTCTTCCTTCCCTTCTCCAGACTATCTGTGTGTATTTCTCCCCCTTTCCTTCCCATTTTGTGTGCCTCTTTCTCCTTCCAGATCCTCTGTGTGTCTCTTCCCCTCCCCATCTTCCTTTGTTTGTCTCTTCCACTCCCCCTGTCCCTTTGTAGATTCTTACACTCTCCCACTTACAGAGGAAGAGACCACTCTTGCCTCCTCTCCCCTCCTGTGTCTGCTCACCTCCATCCTTGTAGCATGACTTCGTGGACCACGGTAGAAGATCTTCTGTATCTTCTACCTGGTCTGTCAGGAAGACAGACCAGGTAGAAAATACAAAAGATCCTCAACTGCACACCGCACAGTCATTCAGTGCTCCCTGCAGTGCAGTACTTATGGTTGTGTTGGCCCTGAATATACATTGGTACAAATATGCAATCTACCACTACAAGGAGATGCAAGTCATTTTTTTGAATATTCCTGTTAAAAGTTTTACTTTGGTATGTTCCTTCTGGGTTCTATACTGAAACCAAACACAGGTTATACTTCAATAAGAGCAAGTACGATCATGCACCTTTTACTTGTCTGTATATATAATGTTGCTCACATTTGCTTGATTTATAGAATTTTTTTCTAAACATTGATTATCTGTATACTCAGTTTTTCTCATAGAACCACTACTCAGAACTAAAAACTGAATACAATCATTATTTGCTTCCTTCATTCCCCTGAAAGAAAAAGAATGTCAATATCTTCTGGAGACATATCAAGAAACGTTCTCAGATGTGTCCATTTGTGTAAATTACTCACGTGTTTGCCCACTCTAAACACATATAGTGTATAATTCTTTATCATATAAAAACCATTAGGGTTTACTAAATGCTGATTAGGAGAGAATTGTAGAATTTAAGCCAAAATAGCTTTGTATCTTTGTACAGTGCTGTTAATAAACAGGTCACAAGATAGCGGTTTGTAGTTTTACTGGTTCTATTGGTAATGTGGTATCATATTGCTTCTTTTCAAATGTTTTTTATTATAGATACATTTGTTTCCATAATCGTAAGAGTAAAGATATAATATGAATATATATGTAAATAACATACATAAAAAAACAACAAAAAACAAAAAAACGGGCAATACAATTTACACATATCACGCGATACGATATGTAATAATTAGTGTTTTTTCAATAAAGTATAGTCAGTTATTAAAAAATAAATAAAGATGCCAAATATATTACGTGCAACAATGTGCTTAAAATAAGATCATATAAATAACTTTATCTGGTCAGGTTAAGTTATACGCTATAATTTAGATTGATTTTTGACATCCCGTACCCAGAGTTCCCATTCATATTTCAGAACATTAACTGTATTGGAAGATGGTCTAAAGGCTAATTCACATCTCTTGGTTTCTAGAGTATTATGCAGCATCTCAGTCATAAAAGGAATAGTATCTGTTTTCCAATATCGAGGAAGGACCAAAGTGGCTAAAATCAAGAGATGGCCTAAAATAATTATTTTAATTTTGGGCAAATCATCTGGGAATCTCTTCAGGAGACACAATTATGGTTTTATAATGGGTATTTGATCAGTGATGAGTTTAATTAGAGTGTGAATATCTTCCCAATACTGTTTTAGTTTAGGGCAAGACCAAAAGATGACACAGAGTGCACTCCCTCCAGCATGCGTTAGTCTGAGATAGTTGCAATTTAAAAAGTCTACAGCTAGTCAGGTACCATCTGTATATAAGTTTGTAATGAGACTTCAAAAGCACAGCAGACCTTGTAATACCGTGTAATGCCATCAGAATCTCATGCCATCCCTCCACTTTAAACTAATTTTTCAGTTCATTCTCCCATTTTTTCATATAGTCAAATTTTGGACCAGATTCCCCAGCAAAATAAGTATAGCACATCGAGATGCTGCATTTCCGACCAGGATCCGAATGATCAATTTTTTATAATTATGACATTATAACTTTACGTATGTTCAGATCCTGATCAGACACATTAAAATAAGTAAATCCACCATCTGTCTATGCATCAGAGCATGGGAGGCATCCTGACCAAATTTAGTCAAAATGTAAAAACTTATTTTTAATATTTTTTTAAATCATTAATATGTATGATAGAGCGGGAAAGCCAATATTCCACATCTAGATCAGGTAACGCAGATCACAACACCGACAAGAGAGCAGCCCTGGGCCAGGTAGTAGAAGGGTTGATCTTTATATACAAGACATCTCAAGCCATAATAGTGACTTTCGTAGTCGAAAACATGTACAATATGTTAAATGATTTCAGCTGAGCACACTGAAAACATAGGTTCAGCCATATACAGTATACACAAAAGTAATTAATCTATATTTAGACCTGTCTGTGTCTGTAGAATGCAGCCTTACTTTCGGATTTACTGACAATAACACATAGACATTAAAAAGTGTCTTTTTCTTTTAGACATACTTAACCCCTTGATGCCAGAGGGATTTGCTAGAGTTGATAGTATGCATCCTCTTACTTATTACTTTAGCCCAGAGTATTAATACATGTTTGCACTTTAAACTCATTTGCACATATATTACATTGTGTTGCTGTAATTCGCTGAATGTAAAATGTCACCACTTTAATTATTTTTACACAAATAAAATCATATTGGATATTGTTACATTGCAAAAATGGATCACTCTATGTATAGTTTCCTTGTATAACCTGCAGCTATGGTAACAGAATAAATGTAACATTTACAGCATATGTACATATACATGCACTTTATTCATCAAAGTTCAATCAGCTGTGTTTTCTGCAGAAGTCTAGTACTAACATTTCATATCCTTTCTAAATTGTAAAGTTTTGATGCAAATATGTACTTAGTAACATAGCTGAAAAGAGACACGTGTCCTTAAAGTGCAGCCTTTCTCATATAATTTTTTTGCTGTTGATCCAAAAGAAGGCAAATCCCCCAATTTGAAGTACTTAAAATTTTGCAAAAAAGTTGGAAAACATTCCTTCTTGACACCAGAAGGGCAGTCACATATCTCCTTGGATCCAGAAGCAATTACCCCACTAATTTCTACACCTGTTTTCATCCTGTTTTTGTTTAACCCCTTCCCGACCTCGGACGTACCAGGTACGTCCAACAAACAATGGTCGTTAATGACCTCGGATGTAGCTGGTACGTCCGATAGTAAATCACCACTTACCTGATCGCTGGCGAACCACGCCAGTGATCGCGATCCTGGGGTCTGCCTGGGAACTCAGGCAGACGCCCACTGCCCAATCCGGCCCTCCCGTTCTCGCGATCACATGGCCGGAATAGCCAGCTTGTGCAGTGCATGCAGGGGGCCTGCCTGAGCTCTCATGATGGGGTTATTTTACATTCTTGGGCTACCATATGGTCTCGAAAGGCAACACAGACCCAGCAAACCAATCTGGCAAACTGAACTGGGCAAGCCCTATATTGACCCTGTACCTATTCAAACCACTATAAAACCTGTACATGTGGGCATTGTTATACTTGGGAGACTTTGCTAAACATAAATATGAGTGTTTAAAACTTATCACAACTATGAAATCACCAGTAAAAGTGCAGTTTTTGTGTAAAAAAAAATGCAAAAAAACAAATATGAACGCTAACTATGGCATGTGTTTGTGGCTAAGTGGCTACTACAAAAGACCGACATACCCCATTTTGAATACCCTGGGTTGTCTACTCTTTCAAATGGTATGTCATGGTGGGGTTGATTTTCATTTCTGGGCTGCCATACCATCTCAAAGGTAACATAGCCTATCTGGCAAATAGCAATTTACAAAACCAAGAATTTGCAAATTTTATGTTTGACCCAGTAACTTTACAAATCACCATAAAACCTGTACTTGAGAGGTACTGTTGTAATCATGAGACATTACTCTACACAAATATTAGTGTTTTAGAGCAGTAAAATGTATTATACTGATAATATCATCTGTGAAATGGCAGTTTATGTGTGAAAAATGCAAAAAAACTAATATAAATGCTAATTTTGGCCAGGGTTTGTGACTAAGTGGCTAATAAAAAAGACTGGACATACCCCATTTTGAATACCGTGGGTTGTCTACTTTTACAAATGGTATGCCATGATGGGGTTGAATTTGATGGGCCATTTCTGGGCTGCTATACCGTCTCAAAGGCAGCATAGGCCCAGCAAACAAATCTGGCAAATTTCAATGTGCAAACATAGAAAAGGGGAAAGACCTATATTTGACCCCTGTAAGTTTGTAAAAACCCATAAAACCTGTACATTTGGGGCACTGTTGTACTCAGGAGATGTTCCTGAACACATATTGGGGTGTTCTTTGTCAGTAACACATAACAGGAACTAAGAATCCATACCTAAAGTACAATGTGAGAGAAAAATAACACCAAAAAAATTACTACCCAAAATTTTGACACAGACTGGTGGTAGAATTAGTGCATGGAACGTGTTAAAAAATACCACCATTTGGAGTCATGAGCTAAAGAATGCGTTATGTAAACAAAGCAAGTGATAAGGAATGAATCTCACAGCAAGGAAGGAGGGTGGAATACAACATGTCAAGAAGTAGATTTAAAGGTGTATGGCCGACGTTCTGTCTGGAATAAGACTGGAAAAACCAAAGAAAATGCTTTGAACTGATACATTTAGCGATTGATAGCAGTCATTATAGATTAGCCAAATTACGTCAGAATCGTCATCAAAATTAGTTAACTCTTTCGAGGACAAGAAATTTTGGTGATGTAAGGTCGCCATCTACTGACCAAAATCTAGATGGTGGTCTGTTGGTTAGCCACACCTTCAGGGCCCTATAGGTCCGATCAACTACTGACGTACAGAGAGTCTGGCCCTTTAAAAAGTAAGGACAAAGGGAAGAGGAGGAACTGGGGAGAGAGATTCAGGACACTCTGGGACTAACATTCAACTCTCATACTCTTTGACTGTACTCAAGAAACTTTCAACTCTCAAACTCTCTTTGACTCAATTCCCCAAACCAACACCACTTTCTCTATCACATGCACATCTTCATACAATCATTACCAACCATACCTCCATTCAAGTTCCTGGGACAAATCATCTGATGAGAACATCTACATAACTGGTAATTATGTTGGTTTTATTTAATTAATTTAAATTAATAAAAATTTGGCTCAGGAATATATGCCTGGATAAATCTCGGTTAGATTTCAATAATTAGAAATCCTAGTTAACTAAGGAATATATGGTTATGAAAATTCCATTACTGCAGGTGGAATGAAAGTAACGATATATTAATAATATAATTATCACAAGTTAGCATACCGCTGTTTTTATCCGTATGTATTGATTTGCTCTGAAGTAAGATAGTGTATCTATTTAGGCAAATTAAAATTCAGCTAAAATTAAATCTGGTAGATGATTTTTATTGGATGGTTCTAGGAATGGTTATGAACATTATTTAATTGAAAATTGCATGACAATAGGATATTATATGCCTAGGAGGATCTAGTCAGCATTGAAAGGGTTACTCAGTTGATCTAACTGTTAGCCAAGATTTTATTGCTTCTCGCTGCATTCTGAGGAATTCTGTGTTCCATGTGACGTTTTGCTTTCTCTCTAAGTGAAGTACCCTCATAAATTTTGTATGTCTTGACAGTTGGTGCTGTAGCTGTGTATGTGTTTAAATCACTGCCATATTGTATACCTATGTTATACTAAGTATTCACTGATTATTATCACGCATGTTACATATTATTATTATTTTTT